GGGCACCATCAGCTTTCTTCACCACATTTGCTTATTCACCCGCTTTGTCTTCAGCGGTTGTGTCTGGAAGGTGAGCATCATAGAATGCCAGTTTAATAGAAGAAAGTATTCTTGCGTTGTCCTCTAGCTTCTTATGAAGCAGACACTCTCGTTTTCTTTGGAAATGCCTCCCCCTTGCTTTCCCCTGGGATACTAATTTAGAACCTGCTTTGCCAATACTCATTGTATTTCAGGAACCCATTTCTTTGCCTCACCAGGGTTCAGTGAGTCATGACTCTGACTCCATTCTTCCGTAGAAATTTGTGCAGTGGCAGATAATGAAGACCTTTTCCAGTTCGACCCACTTCCTAGGGAATGTTGTAGGCTCCGAGAGTGAGTGTCTTTCCCCCCTAGAATTAAAGTGCCATCCGGCAAGTGTTAGATAGAAGCTTGTGGTTAGATGCTGTCCCTGGGCCGGGGGGTGGGAGTGGGGGCGAGTGGTGGGGATGTTGTATTCTTGGAAAATGGACTTAAGATTTTTGCTTATAGACATATATTAACTCAGATTACTTTTTTTATGCTTCGAGGAGAATACTTTGGGTAGGAAAAGTAGAAGATGGACATAGCTGCCCTGAACTCCGTATTCTGCTTCCTAACATCCAGTTTCCTAGCCCAGATATATGAGCTCTTGGGTATTGGCTCCCTCTTGTGCTCCCTTTATTACCCCCCCACCCCCCACCCCCGCCCATGGGGTCCTGTTGAACAGGGGAGGATGAGTATATGACAGGACAGAGTCAGTGGTTTGGGGCCAGAGGAGAGGACTGCGATGAGTCTTGTACATTCCGCCAGGTTCCAGTGTGCTTCCTGCTAGTGTTGCTCAAAGGTTCAAATTCCTGTCTAACACCCACTCCCCCACCACTGATGGCTCAGCCACAAGGCCCATGCAGGCAGGGTGTAAGAAATAAGACCGAGGCAGTGAAGCGCGGAATAGGAATTAGATGAGTTTCTGACTGCCAGGGTTAGGGAGCTTCTTCAGCCTGTGAAAAGAAGCTGAAGCTACCCTTCCTGAAAGGAACTGATTGCAGTCATTTGGTAAGATATGGAAATCATGGATTCCATATGCAATAATGTCATATTTCCTCTGTGATACTCCTGTAAGGGGAGGAGGGACAGCAGGCCCAAGGAGTCTGAATCTTAAAGTTCCCTAAATCTCTCCAACCAGAGACTCTGCATTGGCCCTATCCATATTTCCCAGAACCCTTCCTTGTTCTCCCATTCACCCAGTTTACATACCTGCTCTGACAACACTAGGAAAGCCCCCGCTTGGAGGAAGAATAAATAGAAAACAACAATAACATGTGACTCCTTCCTTATTTGTGACACCTTGGGGACAGAGGGAGGGAAGGGGTAAATGGCCTGTCACTAAGAAGTCTCTGTCTTCCCTCCCTCAAGCAACCTCATAACATTCTGCAGAGACGCCTCATGGAAACCAACTTGTCGAAGCTCCGGAGCAGCCGTGTCCCTTGGGCCTCCAAGACCAGCAGACTCACTCAGGCCAAGTCTGAGAGTCTAAAGAAGTCCGAGGATGATGACATGATCTTGGTTTCTTGTCAGGTACTGTTCTGAAGGCCTTTTGGGGAGTTTCTGGGAAATCGGGTTTGGGAGCCTTCTGGGGTTCCCGAGAGTGGGCCCTCTTCCCCCACACACTGTTGAGTGGTGGGACTTGTCACAGAACTCACACGTAGACTGTAAACGTAACATGCCAGGCAACCCTGGAGGACGTGGGGATGAAGACGTGCGTGCATCTTTGCGGAAGGAAGAACCAAAGCTCTTGTTAGACTATCAAATGGGGTATGTGATGATGAAAGCTCCCTGCCACGTGGAGCGTACCCCGGCCTTCTGGAGCCTCTGTTAGCACTGGATTCCACAGGAAGAGAGCCATGCCAAGGCAGACTCAGCTGTGGGTGAAGATGGGATGGGGTGCCATCTGGTAACTGTAAGGGTGCCTCCAGCTCTGTCTCTCACATGACATCTGCTGCCTGGCTCTCCCTGTGCCTTGGCGCTTCTGGCTCCTTTTTGGACAGTGTCTTTCCTCCCCACAGTGTGCTGGCAAGGACGTGAAAGCCTTGGTTGACACAGGCTGTCGGTACAATCTCATCTCCTCAGCCTGCGTGGACAGATTGGGGTAAGTAGCCACCGTGTGTGCGGAGGGGGAATCAGATGTGAATGTACTCCCTGTGGCTCTGTTTTTGTGGTTTCAGATCATGCACTTCTCCACAAAGGCACCAAGGAAAATGCGCAGGATGCAGATTTCCGCTGGAACGAGAGTTGTTCTTAGAGGGGAAGAGTGGTGGCTTGTCAGGCAGCTGCTAGGAATGACTGGGCCAGGCAAGCCTCAGGCGCTCCAGTAACCCACATACTAAGTTTTGTGTAGAAGCTTCTGGACTCTGGGACAAGAAAGTATGAAATCCCTGGCTCAGTGTGTGCCCTGCCCTGATCTGCCAGACAAATCAGAAGACCCTATTCTGTTGGTAAAGTAGAGGGGCAGCAAAAAAGAAACAAGAGGAAGACTCTTGACAAGGTGGATGGACACAGTGACTCCAACAATGGGCCCAAACAGGAAGGATGGGGAGGATGGCCCGGGGCCCGCGGTGTTTTGCTCTGTTGGGCTTAGCCTTGCAGCGGATCAGAACGGACTCCACACTAGCTAACTTGTTGGCCAGGAGCCTTGGTGGCCCAGTTGGGTAACCTTGGATTGCTACCTGCAAGGTTCATGGTTCAAACCCACAGACTCGTCCGGAGGAGGAGGTGGTCTTCTCCGGTAAAGATTGAAAAGCCTCAGAAACCCTCTACAGGGCTGCTCTGAGTTGGACTCACCTGCTGGCAGTAGGTTTTTGTTTTGGGCCTGCGGGTGCACCCCCGATAGGTAGAAGCAGATACATAGCTGGTCTTAGCTGACTGGGGCCTTTCAGGTGCCCATCTGCCTGCCCCCAGAATTGTGACGTAGAGATGACAATGGGACTTTGATTGCTGCTAGGCCTATAACTAACCAATCGTTTCCTCTGTGTAGGATCTGATTCTCCTGGGAATTGAGTGTGAGGCAAACACCACAGCTATTAAGGAACGTCAGTTCTCTAGCTGGTCGATTTGGGTCCTCCCTCTTTTAGAGCAGAAAAGGCCATTTTCTACCTTTCCTCCCTATTCCTCAAGGAGCCCTGGTGGTGCCATGGGTTAAGCATTGAGCTGCCAAGTACGAAGCCAGCAATTCAAACCCACCAGCCAGTCTGTGGGGGAAGGAAGAGCCTATCTGTTTTTATAAAGATTTCCAGTCTCAGAAAACATAAGGAGCTATTCTTCTCTGCCCTGGAGGGTTTCTGTGAGTCAGACTCAACTTGACAACACTGGGTTTGGCCCTTATTCGTCAATCTCTATTTTTCTTTCTTCTGTGCTTTCCTCCAAAGTACCAGATGGGCTCTGGGGTCTGGCTCAGTATCAGGAAGATCAACCCAATATCTTTGTCCACATCTCTAGCCCCAAAGATGATCAGTCATTTCCCAGCCCAAAGATAGATACAGGAGTCCATTTGAGAATGTCCATATTCTGAGGGAGTGTTTGCTTAAGGTTTGATTTGTATAATCCGTGACCTCTTTCTCATCTCACCCCTTACACTTTGAAACTGTCTGTGGATTTTGAAGATTGCTGTTTAGGGTCATGGGGGAAATCCAGGGCACCCGTGCTCTCGTGGGAAGACTCCTGAGCCTTTCTGTGTGCATCGAGGAGACCGAGCGCAGCATGATGGGACCAGAAAGACTAATAATGTACTGGTGCATAATTAGGCAGCAGCCTGCCACGATTCCAGGGGAATTAATAACCATCTGTAAAACTGCAATTATTTTTCTTTTGGATGGATTGTAACAGCAAAGGAGAGGAAATAGAGGAAAGCAGAAGCATTGGCACAGAAAGTCCATAATTAAGTATTTATCCACCAACCCATAATAGCTCGGGTGCTGATCGCCCCAGTCAACTTACATAACTGTGAAGCCACAGCGCTCTCCCTTCCTTCTCCCCTGCGCAGACACGTGGAATTAAGGAGCACTCCCTCCATGACACCGATGTCAGTGCGATTAGCAGCAACGGACCTGCCCCATTGTCCTTATAACCTCAGAGCAACTGATGAGGATGAGCTGACCAAGAGAAAGGGTAGCAGGACAAAGAGAAAAGTGGGCACCGAACAAAGCACCTTCTAAAATTATGGGGTAACCTTTCTCTGAGAGCTATTATGGGTAGAAGGGCTTGTTCACTAAACTGCCTCACACCTAGTTAGGGATGTTAGGTGCAAAATAGGCTTCTCCTGAGTGTGCCAGCTCTTCACCAATGCAGGTCGTAAGTGTAAACTTTCTGAGATCAGGAGGCAGGATTTGTTTTTGGAGATGCCCTGGCATGTGTAGGACAAAGTATTGGAACAGCAGATGTAAGCAGGCTAGGATGGTTTGGGTAGATTAATCCAGGGAAATCCCTGGAGCACCCTAGTTGTAGGCCAGAAAGTAGGCACTGTCAGAGTCCAGCAGAAGCATCTGTCACAGGGGCTCTGGTGTCCTCCCTCTGATGCAGGCTTAAGGAGCATGTCAGATCTCACAAGCATGAAGGGGAGAAGCTTGCTCTACCCCGGCATCTCAAGGTCGTGGGCCAGATTGAGCACCTCGTGATTACACTGGGCTCCCTCCGCCTGGACTGCCCAGCAGCTGTGGTTGGTAAGTGGAATTGGGGACTAGAGCGAAAGGCCCCAAGGCAAACGCCTCCTACCTCCACCAAACTCTCATGAGATCTCAGGGCTGTTAATAGTGGCTTTTTCAAAATCCCAGGTGTGCACTTTCCATACATTCACGGGAAGTTGAGAATCCCTCTGTAAAAGGAGTGTATAACTCCGGAGACATTGAAGGGGCAAGAAACAAGCGTCATTATGCTGAGGAAAATGGCTCCTTGAAGCTTTCCCCGAGTTAGTTGGAGGTAGAAGCAATTTCCATGAACACTTCGATAGTTTCCCAGGGCCTCTTTCAATGCCTCCCCCTTGCACACTCCAAACTACTCTGCGTTCCAGGGTTTTGTCCAAAGGGTTCTTTCCTTTAAGAGAGCCAGGCTTGGATCCTGGGGCTATTGCCATTTAATGCTTTGATGTGAGCAGATTCGTTCGTACAGTAGTTGCTCGATGGAAGTTTATTGGATGAAGGAACAGACAGACGGATGGTTGATGGATGGGACCTATGTCATAAAGTGGACTTCTTTTTATTTTTAAATCATTTTATTGGGGGCTCATACAACTCATCACAATCCATACATACATCCATTGTGTCAAGCACATTTGTACATTTGTTG